AGGGAAGACCCTCTATGAGATGGATTGATTCAGTGACTGGGGTAATTGGGATGGGTGTGTCAGAGGCAGTGCTATTGGCACAGGATAGAGCAGGGTTTAGGGCTGTTGCACATAGGGTCGCTATGAGTTGCAAGCGACTTGATGGCACATAACAACAACAAGAAGAAGTAAATGGCCACTCCAAACATTATATGCAGTTACAACAATGGGGGGGGGGATGGCCTTTGTGGTAAACTTTCATTGACGAGGGCTCTCCTGGTGTCCTGCTATTAGTGTCATCACTAAACTTACCACATTTCCCCCAAATGCATGTTCGAGTTGTAGAACACAACCTTGCTGCTTATTCAGGAAGCTTTTACCTCAAGGAATGGAGCAAAAGTTCAATAATACAGATAGTTTAAGTTAAATTCTCTTCATAAAATGAGTGTACCGCATACTTGCTGCACTACAAACACTACACTTATCTCCGTAGTGTGACAAATGTACAGGTCCATTTTTGCTTTTGGGATTTTTTTTCCCCCTTCACGAACTTTTGTTTTTAGTGCTTACCAGGTTAAATGCTTGCATTCATACATACAACATAAAACTTTATCAGTCTGGGATTACTGCTGGGTAGCCATATGTCCTAGCCCCTTTCCTCTTTAAAATTTTAAATACAGCAAAGGAACCATTTTCCCTATGCGGCTCCCACACTTGGGATGGAACTTTCTCTGTGGAATTCTGACACCCTATTAATTAGTGGTTATGAGTGGGAGCTGCTCTCTCTCAGCAACTCCTATTCTGCTATCCGTCAAGTGTGATTCTGTAATAAATTTCCACAAAGCAAACTATTTCTGGTAATTCTCCCTAATTAACACCAGGCCTGCTAATAATACATCAGTCCCTATGTGTTTCTGATATAACCAAGATCTTGTCTGAGAGAACCCAAAAAGGGAAACCGCAAACCTAAATTAAGCTTCTTCTGGCAAAAAAGGATTTTCTACGTAGTTCTGTAAGAAAACCTTTGATAATCTTATATTGGGGACATTTTGACCAGAAAACACTGAGCGACAGGGAGGCTTGTTCTGGTTTGAGTCCTGAATGGGGATTTATTGTGAACACACACTGTTGAGTCTTAAGCCTATAAATCTTGTACTGGATTACTGTTTCTTAACGAAGGAATGACAGATCTCTTATTTTGTTGGTGCATTTTAATGTGCAATGACGTGATTGATAGAAACCAAACAGCAGCTATTAAAATGTCAGATGCAGCCTTGATGCCCTTAAAAGTTTGGCTTCTGGAGTTTAATATACTGTGAGCAAATAGACTTGAATTTGTCTTTTATTCCAAATACACTGCCTGCAACAGAAACATTTCTCTTTAACTTTATAGAGCTGGGCAAAAATCTTACCCAAATTAGTAAATGAATAAGGAAAAGGTGAAACTACCTGGTTATAATAGTTACCTAATGAGATTGGGATGAAATAAGCATGAAGTAACAACCCTGATTACTGCAAAAGGCAGATTATGAGTTATACTGTTGGAATATAAGAAATACAATGCTTAATATGTCAGATATCCCTAGAAATACTTTAGTCATAAATATATTTACATTTTTTTAACCTATTTACCAATATTTGTTGCGCATCTTCTACATAGACTAAAAATGGGAAAAAGTAGAACAAATGAGATGGTACTTCCAAATATTTCTTTCCCCTGGGACATTCTGACAGGTAATTATTATGAAGTGAGGATTCTTCTGAAAAATTATTCCATCTTGTCCTACCTGGTCAATGTGGAATATGGCGTTTTCATGAAAACCCCTACCACCAAGAAAGAAAAACCAGGACAGCTTGTTTATATCACTGCAGCCATTTATTTATTTTGTGCACACTGAACTAGTACTTTACTGATTATATTTCTTTTGTGATTTTTAATTAGAAAATGTATCCAAAAGCAAAACAGCATAGATACACACAACTCTTTTTAAAAGAAAGAAACAGAAGTTAGAGGTTAACAGATAAGACAAATGATATATTAAGAATTCAAATCTAATATCTTTACATACTTGGGGGCTGAGAGAGGAGGATACACTCAGGTCAGATCAGACTTTGATACAATTATTCAATCTATTTTTCCTTGTTTGAAAAGCCTTCCCCTTCAATAGGAATGACAACACTTCAAATGTCACAAAAATGTTAACATTTAAGGCTAAAATTTATGATTCCAACAGTGGAAAGGAAGAATTTTTTCCTGCTAATTAAAATGGCCCCAATATAGTACCCCTTGATGATACCATGAATACATTTCTGCTGCAGGTAATTTTAAATGACATTTCATTGCTGTTTTGAGAACTTCAACTCATCATCTTTTTTTTTTTTTTTTAATACTCTATCTCAAAGGATTAGGCTTTAGTTATCAAATTCTTCAGGAGGCAACATTCAATCCATGCTAAATCTAGAGAAATAATATAAATCAGAATCTCACTAAAATCTTGACATTAGTAGATGAAAGCAGGGGAAATTTTAGAGGGATACATTGTGATTTTAAGATGGGTTTTATCAAGTACATCATTCTAAAATAAACATGTAGACAGACTGAAAGTAAATTTTTTACAGTGAAGAAGTAAAAATAAAAAAATGCTACTGACATGAAATATTTATATATGGAAAAAATAAATATTCAGGGAGCTCACCAGAAGAATAAAGTGCTTTGCCAGTTATTTAAAGATTAATGGTGGTGTATTAAACATGATTTTCCCCAATGGAAAACTCAAAGATTCTTCTGGGATATGTTCAGTATTTCACAGGATTAACTGTTTTAAGGACAAATATAAACCTTTGCCACAGAAGAGAAAGGCAAAGCACAAAGACAAAATGATAAGTTAGGAAGCAACATTATACACTCAGGGATAAAATTTGGATAAATGTAATATGCTCCTTGAATAATATGTTGATATAAAGGGCTAATGAAAAATAAAATACTTAATGGAAGATAATTTTATAAGACATGCAGCCAGATAAAATTATTTGTGAAAGAAATACCTACATGCCACTGACTTATCAAATACTACAATGGCATAAAATCTATCAAGGCAAAACTAAACAGCAATAACAAAAATCTTACCACATCAAAACAAAACTACTAACTTATTTTTGTACTGTATAAAGTAAAAGGCTGACATTAAGGTGTGTGACACTGCACATCAGGCAGCATGTCTTCCATAGGTGGTTTCAGCAGCAATGAGAAATAATTAATGACAATTGGTCCCAGAATGCTATAAAATGAAGCTTTGGGCCTCCCTATAAGATGCAGGGTGAGTTCGGGTTTGTTCTTGATGGAGCATTTAAGTTTGCCACTTTGTGTGCCCCCTTCCCATTCTTTAATCCCTGGTTAATTATTATCTAGATATGATATAAAGCCTTTAGACCATAAATTAACAGCTTTCAGGACAAATGTCTTTCAAGTTCTTAGGGAGGTTAAACAAATATTGTCCTCAAAAACCTCCCTCTATAACAAACAAGCACACAATAGAAGTGAGTTGTTAGTGAGTGATGGGCCTGGTAAGACCCAGGGCTCTGTCTCAACGTTAAAACCACATCACCCCCAAACAGATTTAATTATAACTTAGTGGGATCATGGCTTTTTACTTACTCTAGAAATTTTTAAAAAAAAATGATCAAAGGCCATAATCTGTTTCTCACTGGGCAAGTATCAACAGAATCCACTATTTTACCAGTTATTTCTGTATCTCCATAATACCATTGCTTTAAAATGAAAGTAAATAATGGACCAATCTGAGTAATTCATCACATTCCCATTCTACAATACCAAATCTCTGTGAATCTTTCCTAACTTCAATATTTACGTTGGAAGTAGTTCACTTATTTTTGAGAATGGACTACTGAAAAAAAACAAACAAACAAAAACCAAACAAACCTCCAAAACAAACTACTAGACTTTTTATCCCACTCTTTATATATAGCCAATCTTCTGGCTACTCTTTTAATGAAGAATTAAAGAAAGAAAGGAAAAAAGATTATCCTGCAAAGAGAACTTTTAAACCTTCAGTGGTTAACAGGACACCTCTGAACCGGAGCTAATAGGCTTTAAAAAGGGGACAGGTTTTTTTCTTCTTTTGAATATCCTCTGCTTTATCATAATTTTCCAGTCACTTTGTTTTTCCTATTTATTCTTTTTAAAGAGACAGGAAATGAGATTTCAAAGCCTCAGGTTATTTAACTGGCTTTTTACCTTAGCATAAGGGATGAGGAAACCATACAATATGATTTAAGACACAAAAAATGGAAACACTCACTGTCCAACAAAAGCAGAACACTGTAATTTATAAACTATATGGTAGAATTTTTGGAGAGATGGAAGACAATATAATATCTCTCTTCTAAGTATGGCATTTTGATAAAAAAGTTCACTATGAAAAAAGTCTCCTTGGCCTTTCCTATTGGAATCAATTGTAATGAAAAGAGATATAAAAAGTTTTTTTAAAAAATTGACACCTACTATGGATAAGATTCTAAATAAATTCTTATTTAGTATTTTAAAGGTAAACATGTGTTCACTTTAGTTTATAATCCAATTATCCTGTTAATGAAAAAAGTACAAAGCATTCTCATTGCCTTGTGCCGATATATTCCAAACTATCTAACAAGGAAAGTAAATGGTATTACTTCAACATAGACATGACATTTTTAATTCTAAAATTTAATTCTTCACTAATTTATTCTAAGAGGAATTTAATAGTCAACCAGGAAATTGGTTCTTATAAAAACTATTTTATGGGCAGAAAATACAGGGAGAAAAGCAATAATAAATGCCAAACTGTCCCTTTCCTTTATGAAGCCAAAGATTTCCTCATACACTTAGTTTTTAAAGCTAGAGCTTATCCCTTCAGGGCCACTATTCTTTTCAAAACTCCATATAAATATTACATCTAAAAATTAATTGGTATCTTAATTCTCCCTTTTTCATCAAGCTTCTTCTCTTTCCCAAAATGGTCAACTTAAAAATTCACAGAATGAGCATGTTTCTTGCACAGTGGCTTGTCCTTCTTGGAGAAAAAGGTCTGACCTTCCAAGCTTTCACAACACACCTGAAAAAGAAACACCACCTCAGAGAATGTTATCACCAAGTATGCCTGCCCACAAACGGGAAGGTGATCCTTCCCTCGACGGATAACACGACAAAGTCTGTTAGCGTGAACTAAACCACCCTCATGCTTCATGCCTCTAACACTTCACATAATCTTTCAAAAGCAATGCAGAATGATTGTTTTCACTGAACTATACTGATTTGTTTAAATTAATTATCATATTTTCTACATAACATCAAAAAAATATAAAAATATTTAAAATATACAGAAGTCACACTAATAGAGTCTTCTTCCCAAGTTCTAATCAGCATCTGAAATCTGCTTCCTGGTGGGCAGAAGTAAAACATTGGAAACAAAAACTCAACAGTGTGGTGAAATTTTCTCATGTCCAACTAGCCTATCTCCAAATACACAGGCATTGAATGTTCAGTACTTCTTTCCAGTTTGTGTCTTGTCTCCTGTAGTGAAAACTCTGGTCAACAACAGGCTACTGGATGACTACATAGCCAGTTAACTAGCCACTCACACGTATGTCTACTCCATATCTTTTCTATTGCCTTTATGAATTATAATGTTGATAAAATAGTCTGAGAACAGAAGAAAACCAAGTTAATTTTTTTAAGAAAAATAATATTTACTAAGTTTTATGAAGTCTAAAAGATGGGTGAGGTAAATAAAACAAGGTTTAAGGATAATGTTTAGGAAAATAATGTGACTTCTAACATTATTTTTCTTCCTACTATACACTAGTCATCAAGAATTGTTAACTCTTAAATCTAATAAAACAAATCAGATCCTTGAACATAACAATTTTATTGGATATTTATTTTCTAAATTAGACAAAAACCCCAACACTTGGCTTAATGTTCATTTCTAAATCTATCCTTAGTTTCAAAAATAAAGCTAAAAATATCAATAAAGCACCAAATGAAATAACCAAAAAAGCCCAATCCATTGTTGGTGAATCAATTCCAATTCACAGTGGCCCCACAGAACAAAGCACAAAAGCCTCGTCAAGTGTTGAAGGCTGTAAGTCTTTACAGAAGCAGAAGGCCCCAACTTCCTCCTGCTAAGCGGCCATGACTTTGAACTGTACTATCTTTCTTACTGACAGCTAAGAGCTTCGTCACTGTGCTACTAAAGCTCTTCATCAGGTGAAGACAGGTTAGATATTTTACAAATATTTATTACAAGCTCAAAGAGAAAAGACTCTCCATGGTCTATTGCTAAAGAGCATATGCTTACTGTCGACCATGAGGAATATGGAGTAAAATATTTACCTGTTACATTGCTAAGGAAGAAAATGGATCAACATACAGTTTATCACCTAGTAATAAGCTGGCAGGAAGGAGTTATACTACCAATCCAAAGGCAAGCAGTTCTAAGCCGCCAGCTGCTTTAAATGAGAAAGGTGGGCAATCTCCTCCCATGCAATTCACAGCCTCTGAAAGCCAGCTGGAGGGTCAGCTATGAGCTGGTTCTGACTTGATGTCAGTGAGTTGAATATGTTTGAGTTTTGAGTTAATTCAATAATAAATTTTTCTGTTTATTTCTACTTCATGAAGTAACTGCCAAAACAAGTAAAAATTTCTATACTTAATAAAACAAAACAACTCGGCCACTGAGTCGAGATGACTTGCAGGTGACGCTGCAGCGGGTTTTGGGAGGCTGTGAATATCAATAGGAGGTGGCCGCTCCTTCCCCTGTGGAGAGGTGGAGGGTCTGTGCCACCAGAGAGGTGCCCCCTTGGGTATGGCACACGACTCTCTAGGGACCACACCTGCGCTCCCTTACATAAGACAGCACCTAAAAATGCAAAGGGCTCTTTCTGTCTTAAGAAAGAGAGAACTTTTTAAAAATAGATAAAAATGTATCACTAGCATTTTCTCTAAATGGTTAAGTATTGTATTAGAAGCCAGATAATTTGGAAAGCTGCCCCGAAACATTAACAGATTAACTTTCTAAATCAGTGTAAATTAAAGTTTTAAGAATGTGATGGTCTAATAAAAAAATTCACTGCCACTGGGTAAGTTTCAATTCCTGGCGACTACATAGGACAGAGTGGAGCTGTTTCTTTATCTTCTGCAGAGCAGCCTGTGGATTGGAAATGCATACCTTTCAGTTGGCAGCCCCACCCTTAACCCATTATGCCACCAGGGCTCTTTCTGAATGAAAGAAATTTCCATTAATTACACAGGCTAGAACTGCTGGTGTTAGGGTTCTTTAATTAGGGTGGAGTTTACTTACAGAGCACACAAAGCAAGTATCATGCCAGGTATAGCCCAGGGCTTCCAGAAACATGTCTCCAGCTTCTATGGGAAATTCACATCCCCGGCATATGGTTCCAAAGAGAGCATAATAATCTGTATTGGTGGGACACACAAGAAACAGAATTTAAACATGACAAGGTAATCCATCTGTCCATTCATTCCCTTAAGTTCACTCAACAAACACCTGAACACTTATAATTTACGCATGACTCAGACGTCTCTTTTGTTGCCACAAACTTGGTGCACAGTTCAGGACTTTAAGATGTTACATTAGTTTGTAATTCTGGGATATTAAAAATCCTTTCATTTTAAATGCAACGTATATACGTATATATGAGGTGCATTAACATGTGAAGTACAAACAATATATATATACTTACATATTATATATACATAATGTATGAAGTGCATTAAAGAACTGATATAAACAAGAGTAATATAGGTTCTTGAAATTTTAGCAAAAAATTCCAAGGCTTCAAGGGCTAAAGTCAGCTATGGGTTGGTTCTGACTCAATGGTAAACAATATCTCTATCTGTCTCTATTTCTATCTATCAAGAGAGGGAGGGAGGAAGGCCGGGAGGATAAGAGGGAGAGAGAAAGAGAGTGACAGAATACACACACACACATGCACTGGGAAAGTGAAGTGGGTAGTTGGAGACCCCTCCAAATTATTGCAAAGCATGATATTAGTTGAGGACTAAGGTGTGCTTGCTTTAAGGTCATGGTGTTTTCTATTATAACCTTTTTTTTTTGAGGCAAGAATTCTGAAGCTTTGTCTGACATACTTTGGACATGCTGCAAGGAGGGATCAGTCCTTGGAGAGGGACATCATGCTTGGGAAGGTGGAGGGACAGTGCAGGAGAGGAAGACCCTTGATGAGGTGGATTGATTCAGTGATTGGTGTAATGGGGGCAGGTGTGTCGGAGACCGTGAGAATGGCACAGGATAGAGCAGGGTTTAGGCTGTTGTGCATAGGGTCGCTGAGTTGTAGGCGACTCGACAACAAATAACAACAACACATGAGTCACAGGCAAATTGACAGCATGTAACAATTGTAATTTTAACAAAAGTTTACAGAAAAATTAAATTTTCTTTCATTCATTGTAGGATATTTTAGGCTTTGCTATGCTGCTGAAAGCCAGATAATGAACAAGGATGACAGAAGAATGGATGCCTTTGACTGTGGCGTTAGAGAAGAGCACTGAACATCCTGTGGACTGCCAAAAGAACGAATAGATATGTCTTGGAGAAGGTGCAGCCAGAGGGTTCCTTGGAGGCAAAGATGATGAGCCTGTTGCTAGGACAGGCTATTCCTTGGAGAGGGGCATCATGCTTGGAAAAGTGAGGGGACGGTGGAAGAGAGGAAGACCCTCCACAGGTGGAAAGACACAGTGACTGCAGCAGTGGGCTCAAGGGTGTCAGAGATCGTGAGGACGGTAAAGTATATGACAGAGTTCAGATCTGTCATTCACAGGGTCGCTGGGTGACTTGACAGCACCGAAGAACAATAATACACACACGTACATTAAGTATAGTTGTTGTTAGGTGCCATCAACTTGACTATGACTCATAGGGACTCTATTAAGAGCAGAATGAAACCCTGCCCTATCTTGCACCAAGGCTTCAACATTTATTTAAAGAGATGGGAGTTTACATATCTGACTGCCATAAGGCAGAGGAATTCCTGAGAACTGGTACAGTGACTTTCTTTCTCTTTGTATTCTAAAAAATTACAAAAGCAACTGCAAGTGTTAGACTACACATAATAAATAAATACTTGTTAAAGGAAAATGCAAAAGTGTTGGAAAGGCTTTCTTGGTCTACACTGTAAACTGAGAAATTCTGTTATTATAAATATGTCTCTCTATATTGTTTTTTTGTATGTGTTTCATTTCATTTAAAAAAAAACTCCTTAGAATTACAGATCTAGAAAGGAGCAACAAAATCTAGGTTAAATGAGATTATATGTAAAATCTTGGTAAACTGTAAAATCATGCATAATTTCTATAGCTAAGCAGTACTTCTAGTGTAAGACAATTGACAAAAATAAAGATGGTGTAACTGAAAATTTATGACTTAATTTTTTATGTCTTTAAAAGTTATTTTCAAATACTTTTCAAAAACTCAAATCATTGCTGTTCTGTCAGAACTGACTCTAGTAGGCATTCAGAAGCTAAAAATCACACAAGAGGACACTGCCCATCTTTTTCTTTCAGAGCCAGGTAGGTGTGAACCACCTACCTCCAGCTTGGTAGTGCAATTACTTACCACTAACTGACCAAATATATGTGCAAACCAACAATGTTCTCTAATTAGTTATTGCTGCTATTCAAACAAACAAACAAAACCCCAAACCAGATTTTCAGTAACTAGAAACAGTAAGATGAATTACCATAAAGAAAGAATAGATGATTGACATTGGCAATTTTGTGTTGTATCTGACTTGCTAAGAAAGCAAAAGAACTATCTCAGGGAACTTTCATAAATAACGGACATGACTCTATTCTCCTTTCAATTTTCTGACTTCATGAGAAAAATCCTTAGCAAGAACTTTACACAGACTGCAGTTATGAAACAGCAGCAGGATATCCTTAATAGACAAGATGCTTCTCTACTATTATTACATTAGAACATCACAGTTTATTTTCTTTTATGTGGCCACTCTTAGTACAATTAATCACTGAGGGTGCGCTGACCCAGTGATTGCAACACTAAGCTTGAGCATGGCCGAGATTAAGAAGCTGGCACAGCAAAGGGCAAGGCTGTAATCTGCATTCACAGAGTTGCTTTAAGTCTTGGTTGAGTCCACGGCCCCTAACAATACGCTACTGTGTTTACTCATGGTTCTCGGTTTGATTTTTTTTTTTTAACCTTTTTTAATATTCAGCCATGGCTGGAGGAGAAAACAGGTTATTATCTGCAATATGATTCATCCTTCTTAGCAATCTTCAAAATTCTGAATTCTTGAGTACCATTTGCTCAATACAGAGCCACAGAGTCTGGCTGTGTTCCAGGCAGAGGAGCAGTGATGAAGAGACATGCAGTTGATTTTTATGTGACATAGATTCTCAATGGAAAGAGGACATCATCATTTATTATATCTTTTAAAATAAATTATAGTAAATAATTTCATATTGTGATATATGTCACAAAGAAAAGAATATACTAAATTAATATGGAATGACGGTATGTGTAGAGGAGAGTGCTGTACAGTTGTTAGGTGCCACTGAGTTGACTGAGTACAACCCTTGGCAACATTATGAACAACAAATCTGAACCCTGTCCTATCCTGTGCCATCCTTGCAATCTCTGACACGCTCGAGCCCATTGCTACAGTTGGTCAATCAATTCTCCTTGTTGAGGGGAGAGTGTAAAGGACTATATTATGCAGGAAGGTAATTGTTGGGACGCAACTGAACAGTAAAATAGAACCACCAAAGAAAGCCTGGGGAGGAATTTTTCAGTTAGAAGGAACAAGAACACAATCTTTCAGCACATTCAGAAATAGCAAAGAAGCTAGGTATGGCTAAAACGGAGTCTAAAATGTAAGGTGGTAGGGAGTGAGGTTGGCAAAACAATGGAAGAAATATGGGATAGTTTGTATTTTAGGTACAAGTGGAAGCCATTGAACAATTTTTTTAAAATTTTTTTTTTTTTAGCCATTGAACAATTTTAAACAGAACCTTATTCACATGTTAAAATATATTATTACTGTAATAGCTGTGTAGTTAATATGTGAGATTAGGGGAAAGGAGAGGTCATTTAGTTCGACATTACAATGTCCAGGCAAAGGGTAAGAATGAATTAAATTTAATAGTAGTAATTAAGATGGGGAAAATGAATGAACCGACTATGTGGAACTGTCAGGTTTTACTAAAGGGCTTGAATCTGGGGAGAACTAGAGAAAGAGCAGAAATCAAGACAATGCCCAGGTTTAATGAGCAGAGAGGCCTTATAAAGAGATGGGGAAGACCCGGGGAAGAACAGATTGGGCAGGTTACAGAAAAGTAAAACTAAGACTAGGCCAAAGTAATCAGAAGCATAATGAAAAGAAATCTTTCATATTATTTGTCTCTCCCTTTAACCAAGTCTTTAAATTAGTAAAAGAAGATTCTAAAGAATACATTAAATATTAAAAGTAGATAGTTTCACAGAGGCTTTGGCTAGAAACAGAGATTATATGGCAGTCAAAAATATCCTGCCAAGTTTCTAAAAACAATTCCATTATTTCTTCAGTAAAATTAAGTGCAATTCTAAAACCTGAAATATTCTGGTCAAATCAGAGTGGGCAGCCTGCAGCCAGCCTGTTCCAAAATGGCTCCTGGGACACTCACTACAATTTCTGAGACTTCGCAGTGGACAACTGGGAAAGGGGGGGTGAAAATAATGGAAAAAGAAGAGTCAAGTTATACTCATTTAGCTTCGTCTTAGAAACTGATTGCTTTTTTGACTATCTTGGAATACTCTCTTCTTCAAACACCGTATCTTAAACTTCAAGGGAGAACATCAATAAAACTCAACTGCAGGAATGTAGTGGTAGTATAGGAGATAAAAATAAAGGGAAAATGTTTTCTTTTTGCAACAGGTATGTGAAGTAGCAATAACTTAAGCAGGGGCATTCGGTAAGTGTTATAAAAGTTTTCTTAAAGTTTTTGAGAAGGAAAAAGAAGTGTTCAGAACTCAAGAAGGAAGACAGATATTGGGAGGCACCTAGAGTCTTGCTTATTAAAAAGAATTTTTATTCAAGGAGTAATCCAAGCCAGGACTACACTCCCATTCAGGTAATAGTAATAAGACATTTTAAATTTCTTTTCAACACTAGTGGCTTAAATGTTAAATCAGTATCATACTCAAGAGTCAAATGGTTTTCATTTTTGCAACCATTTCAAATTCACTATTGGAGTACAAGAGGTGGCTTCTAAGCTTCACAATTTAACAGAATTTCTATCTATAAACTGGTGGATAGCCAAACATAAGAATTTTCCGAAAAAGTAAAATCTTATAAATTAAATCTTATAATCTTGAAATTACGTATTTTTGACAAAGTCATGCAAAAAGTTCCCCACTCCCAAATGGTTTAATCCACCAGCTTCTCCATGAGAGAAAGATGGGCAATCTCCTCCCATGTAATTTACTGCCTCTGAAAACCTGCTGGAGGGTCAGCTACGGGTCAGTTCTTACTCAACAGTACATAACAACAGTAACAGATTTAGAATCATTTAATTCGGAAAACAACTCTCTGACTATTTTCTTTCCATTTAATAGCAGTGTATAAATTAGTGTTTTGTCTGTTTTCAAGATGTAAGAAATGCACAGGGACAGGATCTTACCGGTCTCACAGTAGGGCTCACCATCCTCCAAATGGAAAACATTATTACGAATAGGCTTTCCACAGGCTACACACACAAAACAGGAAACATGCCATGTTTGTTTCAAAGCATTGATGACTTCCTGGTACAGAGAGGTAATTGAACGTCAAAAAAAGATGCTAGTAAACATATATAATCATTTTTTTTTTGCTTATAGACTTGTAAAACTCACTCCAAATAGATATAAATGCTTCTCAGTTTTCCTCTAAGTAACAGGAGATGCTTAAGAATATTGAAAAAAAAATCACCTAAGTTCATTACGTGTATTTAAGCACACATCAATAAACTTACTTAAGGAATTATTACATTATTTAAACACTACACACATGGTAAACAAATTAAACATTTTGCAAATGCTTGTTATAATATTACGATTTTGTATCCCCAAGGCTATCAAGAAACATTAATCTATAAAAGCTCCCTGGCCTTATCTCAGAAGTTTCATGAGCACAGGGAAAACCATTTTAAAACTAAAACAAACTTATACTTTGGTGCATTATGGAAGCAATAATCAGTATTGTCCAACCACTTTCACACATGTTTAGGGTTTGAGAAGTCAGCTGTGACAGAGGACTATACTATGTGTGTACTTTAACAGTGTCTAATACTTGAACTATAAAACATGGGATTCAGTCAACACTGGCCCTATAGTTTCAATACATCAAAAATTAATACACATAGAGCAGATTCAACCTAGTAAGTTTTGATGAGTTGGCTTTGCAGGAATTCCTTCTTTTGATTATAACAAAGTATTTAAAAATGGTTTTAAAATGTGAATTTAGTCATTCTCTAATATTTAGCATGAAAATGGAAACTATATTTAAAAATATGGTTAATATTCTTTAATTACCTATGTTGTTATTGTTGTTGATTGCTGTCGAGCTGCATGACTCATAGTGACCCTATGAATAAAAGACCTGAGACCTTTCTATAACTATCGTTTCTCCAAGGTCATAGACTTCAGAGGCATATGGTTTAGGATGTGGATGCCACTCTTGCTTCCAAACCTCTGTTAGACTGAGAGCTCCACCAAACACTGTCGACCATGGGCAGTCATTATGGCATTTGAGCCCCCAATGGCACAAGGTTCAGCATCACAGCAAACCCAGATTACCTCAGTGCAGCAAACTAACAGATTATGTTCTCTAGTCTTGTGCTGCTTAACATTCTATGAAAGAGGATGTGATCTGGATGTTGTGCTAATACTGAATATTAGTCTGGAATGGCTTTTTGGATGTTGTTGTTATGTGCTATCGAGTCACCTGTGACTCACAGCAACCCTATGTACAACAGCCCTAAACCCTGCTCTATCCTAGGTCAATCTCACTGTCTCTGACACACCCATCCCGCTTACCCCAGTCACGGAATCAATCCACCTCATAGAGGGTCTTCCCCTCCTGCGCTGTCCCTCCATCCTCCCAAGCATGATGTCCTTCTCCAAGGACCTGTCCCTCCTTACAACATGTCCAAAGTATGTCAGGCGAAGCTTCAGAATCCTTGCCTCCAAGGAGTAGCCTGGTTTAACCCAGGATGAATCTGTTTTGTTTTCTTAGCAGTCCATGGTATATTCAATACTCTTCTCCAGCACCATAGCTCATAGACATCAATTCTCCTTCAATCCTCCCTAATCATTGTCCAGCTCTCTCACACACAGCAAGTGATTGCAAAGACTATGGCCTGTATCAGGCACACCTTATTCTTCAGAGTGACACCACTGCTCTTTAATACTTTGGAGAGGTCCCTAAAGCAGACTTTCCCATTGCAATGGGTCTTTTAATTTCCTGGCTGCTGGGCCAAGAGTATTGACTGTGGAGCCAAGCAAACTAAAGCTGTGAACAATCTCAATCTCTTCACCATCCATCCTGATGCTGCCAATTGGTCCAGTGGGAGAATCTTTGTCTTCTTGATAGTGAGCCTCAATCTATATTGAAGGCTGCAGTCCTTGACCTTCTGCAGCAAGTGCATGGGGTTCTCCTCAGTTTCAGCAAGCAGGGTTGTGGCGTCTGCAGGTTCTTTTTGAATCTTCCACCAATCCTGATGCCACACTTCTCATACAACACAGCCTCCCGGATCATCTGTTTGGCACACAGGTTGAAAAAGTATGGAACAGGATACATCCCTGGCATATACCCTTCCCAATTTTGAGGCATGCAGTGTTTCCTTGCTCTGTTCTGAAAAAAAAAAAAAAAAAAAAAAAAAAAGCATCTCGGACAAGCTTTGTTCCTTAGCAAAGGTTGTTATTGTTGAGAGGGATTTGCATCTCCTATACTACACACAAAACAGGAAACATTCTGTGTTTGTTTCAAAAAGAATTGGTAACTTTCTGGTATGGAAAGGTAACTGAGTGGAAAAAAAAAGATAATAATGTGGTTTGGTACTCAACCCATATTACTAACAACTTTTAAATCCTTCTTACATTTTCCTTAATCTTGTAGCTTTCATTGGATCCTAGGCCATAAAAGCTTGAGAGAATAATTTTCTTTGTGTTTGAGGATCATCCTGATTGTTGAGTGTTTTGTTGTTGTTAAGTGCCATCAAGTCACCTGAGAACATAATGACCCTATGTGCAACAGCTCTGAACACTGCCCTATGCTGAGCCAATCTCACTGTCCCTGACACACCCACCCCTATAACCTCATTTATTGTGTTACTCCATCTCATCTGGGGTTTTCCTCTCCTACATTGTCCCTCCACCCTTCTAAACATGATGTTCTTCTCCAAGGATGAGTCTCTCCTGGACACATGTCTAAAGTATATGAGTATATGAGATGGAACTTCAAAATTCTTGCCTCCAAGGAGCAGCTTGGTTTCAACTTCTCCATGTCAGACCTGTTAGTTCTCTTGGCAGTCCATGGTATGTTCAAGACTCTTCTCCAGCAACATAACACAAAGTAACGATTCTTCTTCTGTCATCCTTATTGTTCAGCTCTCTGATGCATAGGAAGTAATTTATCTAGATTCATATCCTTGCTCCTTAGCACTTTGGAGAGGTCCCTGATACCAGATTTCATCTACTGATTTCCCGAATGGTAGTGTCTAGAGTGTTAATTGTGGAGCCAACTAAGCTGAAATTGTTAACAACCTCTATCTCTTCTCCATCTATCATGATGCTGCAAATTGGCCCAGTGGTGAGAATCTTTGTCTTCTTTTTAGTAAATTTTTTAATAGTTTATTATTATTTATACCATCGTTCACTTTTATACATTTCTTCACATAAATGGTTTCATCCATGTACATTTAGTTTTATAGTCATTTCTGTACATTGTCTTTTGTGTGTGTGTGTGTTTTAAATTTTATTCTGATTTATTTACAAAATTTTAATATGTTGAGTTTCAATCTATATTGAAGGCTGCAATCCCTGACCTCCTGCAGCAAACATTCCAGGTCCTCCTCAGTTTCTGTGAGCAAGGTTGTGTCATCTATATAATGCAGGTTGTTGATGAGTCTTTCTGCAATCCTGTGTCCACCAGAGGTTATTCAAGGCTGTGCTCCTTTGGAAGTACCTCTTGAAAGCTGTGAACCACTAATCTTCCATTTTGCACTGGGGCACTTTGACATTTGTACCATGTGGGCGCTCCTCTTCCTCCAATCCTAATGCCACATTCTTCCAGATAATGTCCAGCCTCCTGAATGGTCTATTCCGCATCCCTTGAGAGAGGACTCATCCTTGATGCACTCGTTTCTTGATTTCTTGATGCACTCGTTCTCATGCAGTATTTCCTTGTTCTGTATGATGAATACCTCCTGGTTCAAGTACAGGCTTTGCATAGCACAATCAAGTCTTCTGGTATTCCTGTTCTTCTCAGAATTAGCCACAATTTGTAGTGATCCACACAGTCAAACATCTTAGTAAAGTAAGTGAAACACAAATAAGACATTCTCTGGTAGTCTTTGCGTTCAGCCAAAATCTATCTGACATTGGCTATGATGTCTCTAGCACCAGAGTCTCTTCTAAAGCCAGCTTATATTCTGGTAGTTTTCTGTCAATGTACTGTTCTAGTCGTTTTTGAAAAATCAGCAGCAGGATTTTGCTTGTGTGTAATATCAGTGATATTCTTTGACATTGTTCTGAAGAAACTGGCAAAAACAACAACAACAACAACAAAAAAAAAAACCCAAAAAAGAAAAAAACCCAAAAAGCCAAGGACACAGGAATTGATGGCATACCAAGCCAATATATTTCAACAAACAGATACTGCCTTGAATGTGCTCACCAGGTTAAGCTAAGCAATCTGGAGGACCAGCATCTGGCCAACTGACTGGAAGAAATCCTTAATTATTCTCATTCCAAAAAAGATGAGCCTACAGAGTGCACTGAGTGTGACACAGCTAAATTACAAGCAATAAATAACATTCACTGATTTTCCACTTTTCTTTTATTTACTAAACTTTTTGCAACACTTTCAAATCATTATTTTTTTGCCTCTTGCTCCTGCTATCACTATCATTGATTTTGCTGTGTTTGGGATCCATGATGCATTTTTCAGCAAAGTTTTTTAAAGAGACTATCTTCCAGTAGTATCAACACTATGAACTTTGATAAATGTTGATAGTTATACAATCAGGTCTTTTGTTCCTGGGTCGCTAGGAGTCATTCTCGACTTGAAGGTAGTCAACACCACCACCACCTCCCCGGGATAATGCTACAATACTTAAGAGACATATGATAATCACAAGCCGTGTGGTATATAAGCTTGGGAAGAATAGGCAATCTTGTCCAGTGAGTTTAACTGCCTCTGAAAACCCACCACTGGGTCAGCTATGGGTTCTGACTTGATGGTACACAACAACAACAACAACACTGCTGTATAAAGACTGATAGATCAGACTGGATCCTGCATAAAGTTGAAGCATAAACTCCTTGGCCAACTTTTTCCTTTTTAAAAAAGAAAAGTTTTGTTTTCTACTGGCTTACTTAAAAAGCTCATGTACATTGTTTTTTTGAAACGGAATCTTTCCCATTTCCTTTACCTGCCCCTCCCTCCACCTATAAAATTGTGCAACCCTATGATTAACGTCCCCCCAACCCATCCTCACACCTCTGGTTCCTTCCTCTCTTGGATCCTCATACAAATTCTACAA